TAATTCAAAACATCAATTGTTTAGGGTTTTTTAATTTAGGTTCCAGCAGGAATTTTTATACCTTCTATGGCAGTAGGAGCTACTTTTGGTAGATTTCTTGGCCTTTGTGTTAAAGCTTTGCAAAATTCATATCCAGAATTTCCATTATTCGCAACATGTAAACCTGATACAACAGTAAGTACATATTTCTTGTTTATTAAAATTATGTTGGTCGTTGCTAATTTAACCTTGGTATGCAAGTGTGTTACACCAGGAATGTATGCATTTTTGGGAGCTGCAGCTGCATTGAGGTAGTTATATCATCATAATCATCATCATTATTGATTATCTTATTTAATTAATTAAAGGAATAATTTTATATCTATAGTGGAGTTATGCATTTAACAGGTTTATATATATATATATAATTAAGTATATAATTTTTATTCAGTGTATATTATTAAATAGCAATCCATTTATTTATTTATAGTTTGTATAGTTGTTATTATGTTTGAGTTAACAGGAGCTTTAACTTATATTTTGCCGACAATGGTAAGTTTTCTTTGTAGATTATATATTATTAGAAAAGATATTACGAATGTTATTATTTCTTTCAGATTACTTTGATGGTTACAAAGGCTGTTGGTGGCTTGTTTGTAAAAGGTGGAATATATCCTTTTCTTAATATCATTAATTATTGTTTGATTTAATACTTGATACATATATATATATTCGTTAACTAAGACATACTGCTGATCAAATGATCAGACTAAACGGGTTTCCATTTTTGGATAAAGAAGAATATTCTTTTGGAGTATCCGGTACAACAGACATTAATGTTATTTCATGGTTTATAAATATAACAGAAACGAATGAATTTTTTTAAAATTTAATATTATTTTAGTCGCAACTGTTATGAGAAAGAAAGGACTAGCAGTAATGCCTGCTATTGGTAAAAGATTAGAGAAGATTGGTAAGTAGAATTATATTTAAAACGAACCAATCCTTATTTTTATTATGTAATAATATAAATTTGTATTTTAAGATGAAATGCTGTTGGACACAAATTATCAAGGATTTCCAGTTGTACAAGATGAACAAAGTATGACTTTATTAGGTTACATTGGGAGAGTAGAATTAAAATATGCTATAGGTAATAATATTGTAAATGAATTTTGCTTTTAATCGTTTTTGCTTATTTAGAACTTTATGTTGATATTTTTATTTTAGATAAGGCTAAGAGACTTCGTGGAACGTCAAATGATGCACATTGTTTTTTTAACCCTGAAGATAATTTTTCGGATCATGATAATAGTGGAGAAAGTTCATCAAATTTTATCGATTTCGGGCCATTCATAGACCAGGTTAAATAATTTCTTTTTGGTATTATTAAAAATATATGTAAAATCATAGTACTAATGTAATTTATATTTAACAGACGCCGATCACTGTACATCCGAAATTACCGCTTGAAACGGTTATGGATTTGTTTAAGAAAATGGGGTTAGCGTTCTTTTTTATATTCAATAATTAATATTAAGATGAGGTTAATATATTTTTTCTTTTTTAGACCACGTGTTATTCTCATAGAACATGAAGGTAGATTAGTAGGACTTATAACCGTAAAAGATGTGTTAAAATATATTGCAAGGAAAGAGGCTGAAGAGGGAAAGGATGTAACAGATTTAGAACTAACTAATAACGATATTGATGATAGTAGTAGTAATAGTTTTGGTTTGGTTGGAAGGAAAAGAGGTATAAATTTAATAGACTTAGGGAAGAGAAGAGAGAACGATTTATAGCGGCTTATTTTTTTTGGCGAAGTTTATAAAAAAGGAATAATTAAATTCAAGAAGAAAATCAAGAAGATAGAAAGTGTCTGAAGTATACAAGTAAATAATAATTAATTACGTATACTGAACAATATATTTTAATAGATTATTAGTACCATTTGTAAAATTAGATATATATTTTTCTTTTTGAGAATTTCCTAAGACACGCCATGGCAAATTCGTCGGTATATAGTTATGATTGGGAGATTATGTGAATTAAGAAGATTAATTTTTAAAAAAAGGTTAATTTTCTAAAAAATATCGTATAATTTAAATTACTCTCCGGTACCATTATACTGTACTTATGAAAGATATTTAAATATAAGACTGATTTTATTTCCTTAAGATAGCACGCATTTTATGATATCTCTATCAAATAGATTCCGAATATTAAAATGGACCATTCAAGAATTTAAATCACAATAATATAGCGTTATAATAAATTTTATATCACGATATACCGTATGATTTTTTTTTTTTTTTGTTTTACTACCGAGACATCAAGAAGAAAATAAAAAATGGATGGTAAACAAAATGTCATTTGAATGCAACATGATGTCCATCGTTGGTAATTCCCATTTTGAAGAATAGAGATGGGAATCCCAAAGTTCTATTTTTTTAAAAGTACATTAAAAAATATTATTCGAAAGAATATTGAGACACCAAAATATGACAAATAATTGGGTCCTTTGCAATAGAAATGGAGTTAATTACAAAAATTATTTAACTTACTTGAGAACATTATTTACATAATTTCCGAGATTTTTTTTTTTTTTTTTTTGAATGATCTTATTTTTTTTTTAAAAAAAAAAATGTTTTCTGAAGCGAAGTTTTGAACCCAATGCTCCTATAAAATTCTATCATAAAATTAGCCTTTGACTATAAAAAGCTCAGTAATATTGAGTTTACTGTTTCATCTATTTTGCAGAAGTTTTTTGAGAAAAATTCGACCAGCACATTATTTTCTTTAAATTTGCGTGAAAAATGCAATTAGTTGTCAAGGAAATTCATTAAATATTTCAAAAGTGATAATATATTCATATTTTACATACTATTTGAATACTTCACTACCTTTCTTACCTTTCTTAAAGAGAATATTTAAGAGCTAACCTATAATCCATAAAAGCTCGTAATACCTAACTTCCATTTTCTCTTTTTTTTTTTTAGTTAATATTGCTTTTTAATCGATTTTGATATTAATTTGGACTTGCAAATATGTTTCCCCCATTTCTATAGTATTCATGGTGGTGGAGGCTTTCTTTGAATGATACGGAAATTTCAATCTCTCTTTTGAATTAGAACATTTCCCAAAATAATAATAAATCACGCTATGCAAAACGTTCTAGAGAATTATACGAGAACAGATAGTTAAAGTTTTACGTGTGATAATTTCCAGAGTTCTTATACATGAATTTTTTTTTTTTATTATAACGTTTCAAATATTCTAATTAATCTCAATTTTTTTTTGCTCATTTTTGTATTTTCCATTGTCTTATTAACATCAAATTTTTTTATATGATATGATGAGTATTTGGAGTGATAGTTGCTTTTAGTTCTTTGAAAGCAAAATAACCACAAGAAGGACAATTCTATATTTCGCAAATGATAGATGATTGTAATAAAAAATAAATAGTTACTTGATCAATTAGAATTTGCAAAGGGAATTACCTCATTATTTCGAAAATTCTATCTTTGATAAGGATAGTGATAAAATAAATATAAATGGGTTAATTGCTAGAAAATCAGGTTCTGGGAATTTTTTAATCCCATGTTGCATATTACAAGTAAGTTATTAATTGTAATTTAGTTATTAAAATTTAGCATTCATTTTATTTGATTGACCGAGGCAAATATTAAAATTCAAATATATAATAAATCTATTAAAATTACCTAATAGAAAAAGAGAAACTGCCGGGAAAAAGAAAAAATGAGTTAAAAATTGATTTCCGGCAGTTTCCCTTTTCTATTGCAAAGATTCCATATAATTTAGCAATTACAATATTTTTCTTATATTACTATTGTTATTAATAGTCATTTTAAAAAATTTTTATTACCTTTAAAGGTTTAAATATTAAACCTAATTAATCTGTTTAACACAAAAGGATATTTTTTTTCTTCACCATAGTAAATCTAAACTTGCTTATAGCAATATCTATGTAAAAACGTCGACTAAAAGTGCATTAACGCAGAACGTCCCTGTTAAGAATGCCGTTATCATTATCACATTTTTTAAATAAATGTTTTCGAAACCTGATCATTATTTCTGAACATGTATAAGTAAGTCTGTTTTTGCAAAACACAAAGGTTTAGAAACAGCCTTTGAAATTTCCCTTAATATATACTAAGAAATTAGAATGAAATAACATAATTGATAAAGAATTTGATTATTTAAACATTAAATTCTTCCTATCAAGCGTCCCCTCTCAAACACCTTGTGAATATATTTTTACTTTTTGGATTATATTCAAAGTTTTACATTTTATCCTTGTTCTTCATCAATGTATTGGTAATAAAACAAATTCTGTAACCGATAATATTAACTTTTGAAATTTTGGTTTTTTTTTTTAATTCAAAGATTATTTTTATATTTTGTTATCAAGTTGTTAAGAAAGAATATTTCTTATATAAATATTTTGATTTTTTAACGAATTGAGAAAAGATGACAAGGTTGACGTGGGTTATTTATTATAAAAAGTAATGGTAACTTTTTTTTGAATGAGCAAATGATGCAAAGCAAATTATGAAGTATTTAAATCAATATTTTCAGGGATTAGTGTTTTAAATTCTCGTCTTTATGAATAAGTTATGAAATTTATATGAAGCGTATCTTAATAAATAGAAAATTTTATGTAAAAACATAATGAATAAAAGAAAAGAACATAAGAGTCATATTTACCATAATTTTTAATTAGGGCTTTTGGTCAATTCAATAAAAAACAAAAACCTATGTAGAAGTGTGAAATTTTCAAAATTTATAACAAATACGTTACATGTGGGTAATTCATATTTATTCAATATAATATATATATTATTTAATTATTTATGATTTCCGTTTTTAAACTTTCATTACAATACATTACGTACTATTTGTTACATTCAATTATCATAAACATTCAAATGTCAGTAAAAACAAATTAAATAAATTAAAACATAAGACGTTAAGTTAAAGTAAATTTCCAATTCTCTAAATTATTCTAAAATGAGACTTCCGTATCTGGATCCCCATGATGGATCAGTATTATCAATCATGTCATGTTTTTCGCAAAGTTCATCTTTAAGTTTCCACCAAACTGCACGCATTGTTGTAACATGTTTATCAGAAGGATCTGATCGTGGAAATGGAAGCCATGATGGATGATATCTACGCAAAAATTCGTTAAGTTGTAAGCCATTTGTACTTTCACCATTAACAACATAAGACCATGATTTATTGTCATGAGCTTCGTCCTCAGTACATATTATTAAAGACGGGTGCTTAGTTATTCTACTACGAAAACCAACAAAAGCTGGGAGAAGATGGTTAGTTACATGATGTCGACTATGACCATCATTAGGCAACTCACACTTAGAGGAGCAAAGTGGACATCTTGCCGAACAACCTAATTTATCCCAAAATAATACTTTTGATGATTCCAAACGTCCTTGTAATATTTCTATTGTTTTACTTTTTTCTGTATCAAACCATTCGATTCGAATAATTTTAAGACCGTCTATCAAGTGATTTTTAAATGTATCGCAAAAGTCAACTGGTTTTTCAACAGTAATGCTGCCAAATAATTTTTTGACATCTTTAAAAATATCGAAAAAATCATGTGATAGTGCTGATTTCGTCAAAGAAATATTACATTTATTTTGCATAAGTATTCTGAACATATAATATTCTTTATAAGTAATTGACTTTCCAAATAAATATTGAATAAAATGTGATAATGCTAGTTGATCATATTTTAGATTTGGATCAAACAATGCACTCCATTCAGAGATAGCCTTTAAAAGACTTTCTTCAATATTTATATATTCTTCAATTTCACGCAATGTTGTATCAACTAAATTTTTACTATATATGCCATAATCATTATTAAAAAGATCACGCATGTACTCTGTTGGATTTTTAAGATAATCTTGAATCGCGTTCATATTTAGTGAATCAAAACTTTCGTTATAGGCATGATTTGTTGCTGTGTGTGTATTCATCCAAGCTTTTCTTAAATACAATTGAAGTCTTTGATCAATGGTATTTCTTTTTACTGCCATTTGTTGTTTAATTGCTATTACGATATACTTAAGTATTTCCTTAGAAAGGCTTTCATTAGAACAATCTGTTAAAATTTTCTGAAATGAAGACAATAAATTATTTTTCAGGTGATCTAATTTTTCTTTTTGCTGCTTTTCCCATTCCACAGTATTATGTCTCAATGTAGTATATATTTGTAACCTTAAATATTTCTGTAATAAAAATTTTACATTATTAACATTTGCATTTTAATATAAATAATATTAATTTGAAAAGAAAAATGATACCTCAAATAAATCAAAATCAGGTAGAAACTCAATTTTATGATCCTGTGTGAAATTAAATAAGCAATCACACAATATTTTAAGCCATTCAATTGCTTGTCCATGCTCAATATGTAAAGATAATTTTTGTTTAGATTCAAAAGTAATTCCATTGATTGTCTGTATCAAGTTAATTTTGACTTCTTTGGCTAGTTTTTTCTTGCCAATATTCGACTTTTTACCTTTAACCACAGATTTTAATGTATCATATAATGTTGTTGCATTAACATCCAATATTTTTTGAATTTGTTGTACTTCGATTGTAATATGTTCATCAAAAGTAGATGGTTTCTTCAGGTTTGTCCAAAAACCACGTTTAAACTTCTCTTTCTCTTTTTGTTCTAAATCTTGACGAATCGTGCTAAATTCACCAATAGCATTGTTAAAAGTTTCTTGAACATGCTGTTTTAGTTTCTCTGGTTTTAATACCATCTGACGATTAAATTCTTTTTTATCCTCTTCTACTTCTTTCCAAATTTCCTCAAATAATTCTGTACATTTTGCATTATCACCTTTCAAGTTGGCTGTGTTTAATCCTTTAATTTTCTTGCCAACTTTTTTTATAGCACAAGCTGACAACCAAGAATCTTTGTACTCTCTTACTAATGACATCCATTGGGCATCTTGCTCTCTTCTTTCTGCGGCAATCATATTAAGAATGAGTCTTTTTCCTTCTTCTACAGTATTAGCATCAAATTGTTCTTGTACTAATTCAGAATAATTTTTTAAATTCTCCCTTTTCCAATTCTCTGCAATTGAGTCCAATTCCATTCTAAATTCTAATTCAATTAGATTCCATTTTGAATAATCTTCTTTAATTTTCTTAACATGTTCATCAATTATATTTTTAGCGCGTGAAGTAAAATCCGGCAATCTATTTTCATGAATAATACTAACAATATTACGCATTTGACACCATGCTTGAATTGCTTTAAAGCTTTCAAAATGAAGAAAACTTCCATATGTATTAATTTTACTCCACACCGTTTTCATATATGGAATAAATCCTAAAGGAAAAATTATTATTAAATTATTAATATAAATATCAGCTATTTAATTAGATAATTTACCTTGCACATTCGTAAAATGTTCCGACGTATTATTATTTTGAATTAAAGCAGATTTTAAAAGTGATTGTCGTAAGCTTGAAATTTTTGCCGGAAATACCTCCTAAGTTGTAGATTTGATTAATTGTAGAAGAATCCAAAAAAAAAAGAAGACCAAATAAACCAAATATACTTACAGCTGGTAAATTAACATTTTCTGTTTTTCCAATATTGTCAATACGTGGACGAAAATCATCTTTATAACAAGAGAATGCATTTTCTAACAGATGAACATCATCTTGTTCTACTGACATAAAATCTTCTAACGAATCTAAGCAGCCAGGAATTTGTTTAAACATTTTTCTTAATCCATCAACAATATCTTTAAATGCTGGTTTTTGAGCCTCTATCGTATCAACCATATCACGAAGAACAAAATGCAGCCTTGGTTTTGATTGTCTATGTCTCAAAGCATCCAAATGCCATGATGACACTTCTAAGATATCTCCGATATCCCTTGTTAATCCTTTTGTATTAATGATTACAATTTGAGAACACATTAATGCTAAAAGTGTTATTTTCTTATCGAAGCTGGTACGATGCGTAATATATTTTTGGGCTGTTGAGGCCATTCCTTCGGAATCAAGTATTAGCAAATCGATTGTATTTCCATCAAAATTTGCAGTTCGATAACTCATATATACACCTTTTGTACTAAAAAAAAGTATAAATAATATTCAGCTATTGAGAAGAAAAAGATCATTTTTATGACATATTTACCATCTTGAGGCCGAAGTAGCAAATCCACAATGAAATAAATAATTTAAAAGAGTAGATTTTCCTGAACTTTCAAGCCCGATCACTGATATAACGATTAATCTTCGTTGATGATTTATCATTAAGTTACTTAAAACATTGGATAAAAATTTTGTTGGAAGAGAACGTAACGATAAGCCATCAAGCAACTGTAAGGGTTCCCCTTCAAGGATCCATGTTTTATACGCTTCTTGTAACTTTTGTGGCTTGACATTATATCTAATTTCAAAACGTTATTAAAAATTAATGTTCTCTTTTAAAAATACATTATGTTTATTTATTAAATACTTACAAATGTTCTAATATTGATTTATTACTCGAATATAAATCAGATAATATAATAAATTCACGCCAAAAATCATGAATAGAAATATCATTCTCCTCAATTTGCTTTTTGATTTCAATTCGTTCAACGTTATCATTATTTTGTATATCATATAAATATTTTTTAAAAAAATCATCAATTTGTCTGGCAAAGTCTCTAATTTTTTCTATATTATTTTCATTAAGTAGGTTTGCAAAATCAGTAAAAATTGGCAAAGCAATATTGTCAACAATTTTGTTCTGTTCACGTTTAAATTGAAAAATTTTAGTTTGAATTTGTCCCTCAGTCATAAATGTTGCATTTTCCTGTGATTCTGTTGTGGATTTCTTATCATTTAAAGCTTCAATCTCATGTTCAAAATGAGTTGCGCGAAAAATATCTGATCTTTTGTTAAAATTAATTGATTTCATTTTAGATGCAAATGAAGATTCCCCTATTTTACAATTCCAAATATTTAAAGATTCATTATTTGGTAATTTAAGGGTTAATTGTGGAAGAATAAATTTAAACTTAAATGTTGACAGTTGTTCCATTATATCTTCTTTTTTCTTTTCGAGAAATTGATTAATGTCTTTTGGAATTTGTTCAATTTTAATATTAACGTGTTGTTCTAGTAATTTTTTTAAGGTCCTCTTGCGCTTGCTGTAAAGATCATTATTTTTTGACTTACTCCAATATATGATAGATAATTTTGACTCATTAGATTCTGGCGAGATATTCTTAATGAGTTGTTTTAGTTCATTAGACGACGAGTTACCTTCAAAATCTTGATCATTTATGTGTAAAAACATGTAAAATGCAAATTGTGATAAGCCGTTAATTAGACTGAGAAAATTTTGGTGAGGGTCCTCTTCTAAATATACTTCGGCTATAGCGACAGGCTTTCGCCCATAATTTTCTGACGCAGGATGGAAGGAAATGTCAATTGATCCGGCGGATGTAATACTTAAATCATCCTCACGGTTTTTGCAGATGACAGGGTAAAGTCTTTTCGAAAATGGCGTGACTGATTCGCTTGTGCTTAAATTGAAGGATAATAATAAATGATATTTATCCCGAAGTACTAAACTACGAATTTCTCTTAGAATCCTTAAGCCTTTTTGACTAAATTCACTTTTATTTGTAAATAATAATGGAATGGGAATGTTTGCTCGAGTAAGTGAAATGAGGATCTTTGTAAGTGCTTTTTTAGGGACCTTATCCAAGAAAGCTACAAGATAATCCCTTCCTTTACAATTGGACAACCGCTTTAATATTTGTGAAGGATCATCAATATTGTCAGAAGCGGAAATTTGTCGAATGCAATCTTGAATACGTTGTAATGGAATTGTTCTATTTATTATATCAACGATATATGGAAATATATTTCGAAGGATTCCTTGAGTATGATATTTCAAATAAGGTCCCACTTCGATTTTAAATACTTCTTCATTTAATTCAGCAGTTACAAAATTTGTAGCATCATAATTGATCGCAATATCACCGAAGGTCATTTGGAAAAACTCTTCAAGGGATAAATCCTCTGATGATTCAGATTGCGTTTCCTCATCAGATGAGTCATAAGATGAGTCAGAACTTGTACCTGAAGTATTATTATCAAAACCTTGCAAAGTTGAAGTCGAATTTAGCTTGACCCGATCATCTGTGAAATGATTTCCAAATTTTTTATTTTAAATTCTTTAGATTAAATAAAATAATAATTTTTTTTTTAAAAAAAAAAAACTTTGTATTTACCTTTATTTGTAACATTGTTCTTTGAATCCAAAATATGAGAAGATAAATATGATTCGAACACTATAAAATAATTCATGGTATTTTGAATTCCATCAAGTGTTTTCAAAAATAATTCTGGTGTAGAATTCTGGACGTTCTTGGTATATTCTTCCTTTAATTCATTGAGAACCTTTACAACATTATCATCAGAGGTTTTGTCGATCTCAAACAATTGTGGATATTCATCTAAAATAGTTTTAAAATTGAAGGAGTCGACAGATGGCAAAAGGTTTTCTTGTTCGCTTGAACTTTTATTGTTGTACTTATTAATTATACCGTGGATTACTAATCAAAAAAATAAAATTAATACCCCTTGAACTTTATTTATATGAATTGTATTAATATATGAAAAATATTACATACCCCTAAAAAGAATATCCTCCATATTTGTCAGTTGAAGTTGTTGAACGAAATCTTGTTGAATGTTTAACATTGCACTGGAAAATCTATCGAAATTTTTACGAGTAAATTCAAACAAAGCTTTTTCGATGATGATTTTCTCAGCTAATATTACTGCTGTTGATATTGCAATATTGAGTTTACTAGAAAACATGATATATAGAAAGATATTAAATATATTAAATGATTCAAAAATTCAGAATAAACAAAAAATAATTACCTTCGATTTTGCCAAGATTTGCAATTAAATGCCGCATTACCAATAACGCATACGAAACTTTCATTTTGGCCACGTTTTTGGTGGTTTTTATAAAATTCTTTAGTTACTAACAAGTCATTTGAATTCTTCGAAATCGAAATCAAGTTATCGTAATCAACTTTAAAGAATTTAAATCCATCTCTTATAATATTCATAAGCCAAGGATTATTCTTTACCGAATCCAAACTTGGATTTGATTCGATACTATCATATTCAGATTTCGATAAATTAACTTTAAGAAAATTTCGACCATCTTGATGAAATTGTAACAAATATCTAGTTTGAATTAATGATAAGGCTTCCATTTCGTTATTTTGCGAATGATTTTCGACATGAAACTTAATTTCTAACTCGTAATGTTTGGAAACAGCTTTTTTTTCGAACTGGTAATTGTCACAGTAATTATTACCATCTGCGAGAACCAACAAATCGTATCGACTAGTACATTCAGAATCAAATCTGAAATTGATAAAATTTGGGGTTTGCGTTGAATAATTTTTTTTGTCGAAGTCATGTGACAAGCAAGATACTGCGGTTGAAAGTATCTTGAAAAATAAATTACCTTTCGGGAACCAGTTGTACATTTTCATCGAGTTTTGCAATTAATTCCATAAGCTTGTCTTCGAAATCTTCCATGAAATATGCAGTTTGTTTGCCTGAAAAAATTTCCTTGAAGACCGCTGCATGAGATAAGTAATCACGAACACTTTGCGGGAGACGCGAAAATTCAGCTTCATTGACCAAAAAAAGCTGATTTTTAGAATTACGATTTTTATAAACTTCGTGATAAATAAGAATTTGTCCCAAAATTTGTTTCTTAACAAGAATTTCAGACAAAGAAAGAGCGAAGATAAGACCAGAAGGTCCTCCGCTGCAAACAACAATAATTGGTTTTTGAAACATTAAAACTTATAATATTCAGAAAAGATAAGAATTTACGAAGTAAAGGGATCAAATTAATATTTTTGTGAAATTTATAACTTCATTTAAGTTTTCAATTACACCAAATTAGGTTTTATCGACAAGTATCAAGTTGAGTTTTTCCGGATTATTATCATCTGTGCTGTGTAACATCTAACGACGTTTCACAGTTCAATTTCGCGTACTTGTTTGAGAAGAACAAGAGTTCAAAAATAATATGTGCGATTTGCAATAGAAACTACAAAAAAAAAATATATTTTTAGAGTTAAAGTTAAACCTGAACATATTTTGCTTAAATCATATTTAACATAAAATAGATTATATACATTATATTAATATGTTTTAGTAGTTTCCTTTCCTTTTGCAGATCCATTCCGATGAAATAAAATATGGAGGCCAAACTTTTTTTTTCATAGAGGCTAAAATTTATGATCGTTCAAGCACTTCTTCTTGTTGAGTAGTTGCCTTTTATTCTTTGCTCATTTGATGATACTTAAGAATTAAGAGAAGCTGCTCAAGAATTGATTGCGATCTTTTCAATCCCTAGACAATTACATTGAGGGAATAGACATCTTAGTAGAAAGTCGTCAATCAAATTTTTATGTCGTTCTAATGGAAGATCAGCAAAAAATGTCGACCTAAATTTCAAATGTCACAATGTCACCTTAGCTATAATAGAAAGGAATGGTTTTAGGGACAACTCATTTTTGGTTTGGCTTTATGCTATGACACATTTGATGACCGATTAAAAGTTAGAAAAGAAGGCTGTTATCTTATTTTCATAGAACATGATAGATTTCAAAAGTTTTAAATCTCGGAATTTGACTTTCTAGACGTGTACTCATGATCAGAGATAAAAAGAGCAGCCCAATTTTGTAAAAATAAATAAATAGATGGACAAAGTATTTTTAAAATCTCTGAGCAATTACATAAAGATATTATTCTTAAAGAATCTTAATTGTCTTAAATCTCTTAATAAATATTGGTAAGAATAAATATTAATTCACAAAAATAGATTTATAAATAGAAAGTTACAAAAACATCAACTTTATGAACCCTACTATTTCTGAAAGAAAGAGTGCTAAAGTGATATTACTTATTCCTTTCCTTTCTAAAATAGAAAATACTTGGTTTATTGTCTAAATTAAGAAAAAATATTTATTTATTATTTAACATCTAATAATATATTCAATATAATTAATTAATTAACAAAAAAATGCCTTTAAGTTATGTATTGTATATGAGAGAAATTGTAAGTTGCTATTTATACATATTAAAATACTATTAATAATAATGTTGAAAAATATTCAACAAAATTTTATATTTAGATATTTTTAAGTTATATATTATTATGTATAAATGAAGATTTTAACACTATAATAAGATGTTTTATAGTCTATTAGTGATGAACAAAAACCAAATTTGAACTAAAATTATAGTTTGAAAATTTTTAACGATGAATTATAAACTCTAATTCGATTGCAATTGTGGTAGTTCTTAATAATAGATGATTATTAAAAAACAATAAATAGGAAAGGTTTTTTTAGCATTGTTCAATATTAATTTGACGCATAGAGCTGCTTATTAACTTTACGAATGGAGATAATAATTTTGGCATAACTTTTAATTCAGGAAACTCCCTCTTATGATTAATGTCCATCATTGAATTTGAACTGGAAACAGAACTTTGCGAGTCGTCATCATCTTCATGCTTGTCCATTTCAATTTTCAGCCCTTCGTTACCCAATTCGATTCCCACCAAATCATCATCATCATCATCATAATCATCATCGTCGTCATCATCATCGCCGTTGCCGTAATCGTAAATGCTATCCTTATTCATATCATTATACATAATATCCTTGAGACGCATCAATTGTCTCTTCTTTCGCCAAGTATGCCAACTCATTAAATTATCTAATTCTGTTGAAAGAAGGGTTCGTTCTTCAGTTGTCAATACCGTGTCAATTAATTGTTGCACATCTATTTGTTCGGTTAATCCATCACGTATAAAATTAAAAATAGATTCAATCCATTTAAGGAATGAATTGAATAAGCCCGTTGAGTCGTGTGAATACACTGAATGAACAAAAGAATAAAATTTTGGAATATGTCGATGCACCAGCGACACAAATGTTTGGACAACCGATTCAGCCGAACTATACATAACGACGCCTAAAGAATAACGACAGGATATTTTAACGGTTTGAAAAGGAATTATATTCAAAAGAAAAAAAGGTACCTCTTCGATCAGCTTCTTCGACAACATTAATTAAATCATCCAAAAATTCAGAAAGGTCAGATAAAGTATCGGAAATATTTGCAGCCTTTAAAATCCAAACCGAATTAGTAAATTTAAAAAAAGTAAACTGATTTAACAAATCAACTCACTTTATATACTTTTGCCAATGGCTCATAGAAGATGGTGATGATGTCTTTCAAGAGATCGCCAGTAATGCCCTAATGCATCAAATAAAGCGTAAATATAACTTCAGAAAAAAGCGAGTAATACATATGTAATAATTAATTACCTGAAACAGTAATTCAATCATCATTTTTTTATCTCTTTGACGAACATAGAAAAAGAATAATTTCTTTAAATTGTCTAATAATTCTGTATTATCAATTTTCATATTGTTGATACTTCCAGTAAATCTCGCTACTTGTATAGTCTTTAAATCAGGAGTTAGAAGCTTTGTATGTAATATCGCAAAGATGAGAGCATTGATATCTAGAAAAAATCAAATCAAATAAGTTTATTAAATTATTATTAAAAAGTTTAATCTCATAATATTTTTCAACATACGTTCTTCTTTCGTTTCTCTCATTATTTCTGTCTGAAGTTCACTAGGAGAATATACGAAATTCCGTAATTTTTCACATACTCCATCATCATTTATTTCATCTTCGATAGTTTTAATATCTTTGCCAAGTTCTTTAAGATCTTCGGTCACGCTCATTGAAAGGATCCTATAAAGTAATAGTTAATACGCTTGAGCATTGACAAAGAATTGTTTATTTATGAATATAGATCCAAACCTTTGGGCCAAGCTTTTTTGTCCGAAAGGTTGTGCTAGAAATAAGTCTAATATCCCCCTCAATAACGCTACAGGATTTGAGATTTTCATTACGGCCCGAATAGTTTTATATGGCATTATACTATGTGTACGTTTAAGCTGTGCAAAAGTTTCACTACTATTATCAGATCCGATGAAAAGAGAGTATAAGGTAGAAGCAAATCTAAAAAAAAAAGGATATATAACATATATATATATATTTTAAATCCCAAACGCGTATTATGTCGAAAAAAAATTAAAATAAATTGATTCATACTAACCCTATTTCGCCCCACTCGATAATTTTTTGATATGTTATTGGTAAGTTGAAAGCGTTTGGAGTCTCTTGGATTGTATAAATAACCTTGGATAATCCATCTATTGAAATTACAGAAATAAGATTACTGTCATGAGATCCAAATAAATTATATTAATCGAATAATTACCTGAATTCATGACTTCTTGTTTGAATTCCGAAACATGATGTTCGAGTTCTTTGGCACGATTTTCCGCCTCTTCATTAAATTTTCTCAGTTGTTCATCTCTAATTGAATCCAACTCTCGTCTTTCCGCTATATCTCTCTTTTCATACTCGTTCAAAGTAAGGGAGGAATCGGTTAAGAAAACAAACAATATTCTTGATCTGGAAATTTCTCTAATGGAAAGGAGGGAACGTAGATATGCGCGTAAATTTTGACGATTTTTCTCATGCCGGTATTGACCGTTAGAAGATGGATCATCCGATACTGATTGTGATTTATTGAAAGTCGAAGATGTTTGTTCTTTAACTTTAGTTGGCAGTTGAGGAATATCCATTGACGCAAATTCACTTTTAAGCTTTTTTTTTAGAAGAAAAAAAAGGAGAAAAAAAAAACGATTTAAATATATATATATATTTTTTTTTGGTTTGCTTGTTTTAATTTACATGAAACTTACTTTGCTATATAAATTTTTAAAATCTTTATAACGTCTCGCAACGAAAATAATTTCATTGAAAGTTTGACGTTTTACTTGAATTATATATTCCGAATGAGCATGTTCACGAATTCGATGTTTCTCCAATACAGTCCTCACGGACACAATATTAATATTCCATCCATTAATGGTACATGACAAATCATTTAATAATTTTCGATTGCGATTCTCATAAGCACTAGTAAAATCAACTTTAATTGACTCATCTTTTCCAGCAGTGGTTTTTATTCCAGCGTTAAGTAGTAATGTAAGTTCGTTGACGATTTTTTCTCCCAATTTCTTTCTTTTAGTTCTTTCGTCTCTTGTAGAAGTAGTACTGATATTTTTTTTAGCAAATTCGTTCAAGAATTCTGATAATTTAGACCAAAAAGTACTATCGGCTTTTTGAAGAAACGGGAATGTGAGTACAAAACGACTAAATATGAATCGTAAAAATGGGGTGTCAGTTTCCACGCAATCTTTATTGGCAAATGGTGGGCCTAGATTTTTTAAAGCGCCATATTGCGAGAGTAATTGGATTTCGGATTTTATTTGCCTAGAAATAAGTTCTTTTTTTAAATAATGCACTTGTAATGGTGATAATGGAGTCTGTATCACAATGGGTAAAAAAAAAAATATATATGAATTTTTATTTTTTTTTTTTCCTAAATTAAATTAAACATTTTTTGATAAAATTCGCATATTTACCGGATTTATTTCGTCTTTACTCTCAATCATGATTATCAAAATTTTATTTATATTATACAAATTATTCGAGCTCTTTATATATACTTTTTATGATATGCTATGACAATATATTTATTTAAACTAAGTGGTATGACGAAATAATGACGTAAATAGAAAATCATTTAATCTGTGTAAGTCTAGTAGTTAATACAGTGAAAAAACCTTAAATTTTTTTTTTTCTATTTTTGTAACCAGATTAACCTTAGGATTAAGCCGCAGTAAATTTTATGCTAAATGGCGTAACGCTAAATGTCACTTTTCACGTGATTATCGGCCGGTTTTTTTGATTCGGACATGTATGCTTATGTATTCGCGAATTTATACATTCTTAGACATGATTGGCAATTCACATCAAATTTGACATTTTAGTAAACAATTAAAAAAAAAAAAAAACAGTGAACCTCTAAAAAAAAATAAAAATAAAATAAAAAAAATAAAAATAATAAAAAAGAGGAAAGAGAGAAAGAAAATCTACTACCTCTGTTGGCCGGAAAGTCTGAGTCTGGTCTTTGCTCAAAAAACGATACAAAAAATTTCAAAGGAACTTGAATTAGCCAAAAATTCCAGACTGTGTATATTTGATCCGATCGACAAAGATTTTCGGAAAAAATTTGACCAAAAACCTGTTTTTACTCTATTAGATGTTCATTTATTAACTAAATGGGTATAGTTATAAATTTATAAATGGGACCTAGACAGAAATTTTTATTCCTAAATGTACGCTCTACATTCTTTTCTAAATAGTAAAAATTTCTAAAAATATATACAGTATCTATAAAAAATAATAAATTAATGCTTCAAAATCCTCTTATCGTTGTTTGCAGCAGAGGACCTTCTGGTCTCATCTTCGCTCTCTCTTTATATGAAATTTTTGTTAAGAAGAATATCTTGGGAAAAATTTTCATTTATCATGAACATTATAAAACTCATAATACTAAAAATCGACTTTTTTTGGTCAATGAGGATGAATTTTTGCGTCTTCCGCAAAGTGTCCGTAAACACGTATATCAATCATCGGTCTTTAAAAACATTTTTTCAGACCAAGAAACTGCGTATTTTATGAACGAGTTCGAAGACAAACTTTTGGAATTGTTTGCAAAACTCAAATCAAAAGAAAATATAAAATTGTTTCAAGAAAGGTATAAAAATATATAAATGAACGGTTTCCTTTTTTTTTTTTTTTAGAAAATTCTTCAACGATACCAAATTTATGCCTATGTTTCCTTGTTTTCATATTGTATTTAATCGCAGATTTGATCCTTCACGTGTCGATCGATATGACTTGTTGGTTCTCGCAGATGAGCATGACAGTTTCCAGTTTGAAAAAGAAGCCATTTCCAAATGTTATGAATTGGAAATTAAGTTTCACGTTTCCGAAAATCAATTGCAAAGCGGCGAAACGGAAGCCCTATCATTACTTCAAACTAGATACTCGTTGCAATTCCAACATGATAATCAAAGTTTACTTAAAGTAAATTTATCGAAATCCGAATACGAAAGTATTGAATTTGATCCGAGTTTGGATTCGATAAAGAATAATCCTTGGTTCATGAATGTCATAAAAGATGGATTTGAATTCTTTGAAGTTTATAACTATGACTTGGTTTCAATCTCAAAGAACTCTGATGATGACTTGTTGGTAACAAAAACATTTTATAATAACTACAAAGAAAGTTTTGTATGCGTGGTTGGTGATGCGGCATTTAACTGCGTATCCTGGCAAAGTACAAGGTATTATTTTTAATTAATTAATTATTATTATTATTATTATTTTTGAATTTGTGTTGTTCTAATTATTTTCAATGTCTTTAATACCATCATATTCCAGGAAACTCGATATCGCGATATCAACGGCAGTTACGTTAGCCGAGAAACTTACCAACGGACAAACTTTATTAGAAATTACTCGTGAAAATCTCGATAAATTCTCTAATGCAATGATTAACATTCGACAAGATCTTGTTCAACAACTTCTTTTGACAAATATGGAGAATATTATTTTCAAGGGTATTTTTCTTCAAATAAAATTGTTAATACGATTTAGGATACAATACAATTTGCTTACAAGAATTAATATAATCTTTTTATCCTTTGATTAGTTATTTACGGTATCATTGATAAATACAACAAAAAGTGTTCAAGTGGACAAGAAAAAATGATGTCATCTGTCGATTCCTTCAAACTTATAACCATTCTAGATAAATATCCACAATTGTTTGAGATCGATCAAACCCCTGATGATGATGTTGTAAAGATTCTCAATGAATTAAGAGAAGAATATACCAAGAACATTCAAAGTTCTACGCCAGAATTATTCTTGAAAACACTTGAAAGAATTCAATATGCTATGAATTATTTTACAATTTTTGAATCACATTTGTCTTCTTTCATCTCAGACAATGAATTCAATAAAGGTATTCAATCTTTAATCTCCAACCTTTTTTTTTTTTTAAAAAAAAAAAAACAAAAATCATTTATTTAATCATATACAAATTTTTTTGAAAATTAAATCTTTAGACGATTGGGTCGAGCTGAATTCATCTTTAATCTTGCGAGACATTGATTCTAATAATTCTAATAAGAAAGTTGAAATATCGGATGCAAGTTCTGAAGATTCTGATGAATCATCCGATGAAGAAACCCAACAAGATTTATCCCTTGAAGAGTTTTTCCAAATAACTTTTGGTGATGAAACGATCAATTATGACGCTACCAATTTTGTAACCGATGAATTAAGTGAAGACATATTTATAACCGAAGTGGGACCTTACCTTAAAGATCATAAACAAGGAATCCTTCGAAATATATTTCCATATATCGTAGATATAATAAATAGGACCATCCCGTTGCAACGTATACAAGGTTGCATTCGACAAATTTCTGCTTCTGACAATATTGATGATCCTTCACAAATATTAAAGCGGTTGTCCAATTGTAAAGGAAGGGATTATCTTGTAGCTTTCTTGGATAAGGTTCCTAAAAGTTCACTTACGAAGATTCTCCTTTCGCTTACTCGAGCAAATATTCCCATTCCATTATTATTTACGAATAATTGTGAATTTAGTCAAAAAGGTTTAAAGGTTTTAAGAGAAATTCGTAATTTAGTACTTCGGGATAAATATCATCTATTATTATCCTTCAATTTAAGTACAAGCGAATCTACCACGCCATTTTCGAAAAGGCTTTATCCTATCATTTGCAAAAACCGTGAGGATGATTTAAGTCTTACTTCCGCTGGATCAATCGACATTTCCTTTCATTCCGCGTCGGAAAATTATGGGCGAAAGCCTGTCGCTATAGCTGAAGTGTATTTAGAAGAGGACCCTAACCAAATTTTTCTCAGTTTAATTAACGGCTTCTCAAAATTCGCATTTTACATGTTTGTACACGTAAATGATCAAGATTTTGAAGGTAACTCGCCTTCTAATGAATTAAAACGACTCACCGAAACCATCTCGCTAGATTCCAATGATTCAAAAATATCGGTCATATATTGGAACAGACCAACAAAGAATGATCCTTTCAGTAAGCGCAAGAAGAATATTAAAAAATTATTCAAGTCGCATCTCAAACCTGAGTGTGTTAAAATTGAACAAATTTCTAATGACATGAATCAATTTCTCGAAGATAAAAAGGCTGAACTAACGAAATCATTATCACAACCTGATGCAGGATTTATTTATCCACATTTGGTTCTTAAATTAGAAACTTTAGAAAAAAAATGTTTAAACATTTGGTTACCTGAAAATTTAGAAGAAACATTCGCATATTCTATGAAACAAAAAAAATTTTCCACACGTTCGGATTTATTCCCGGCAACAGATTTGGAAAATAAAATAGAATCATTAAAAGAAAAGAAGAACAAATCTCGACCACAAGATCATTCGGATTATATTTCAGAAGAACAAATTAACAAGAAAATTCATCAATTTAGAAATGAACAAGTCAATCTCTACTTTAGCAAACCGATACCAATCCTTTTAGAATTCGCAAAGATAATTAAAGAAAATGAGATAATTGAAATGCGAAAATTTGCTGGTTTAATCGATAAATTCTTCAAGGACCATTTGGTCGAGCTTCAAAAATCAAACGAACATAATGAGTATGCGCACAATAAGCAAATGCTTGAAGAAAATGATATATCTGTTCATGATATTTGGAAGGAATTTATTATATTATCAAATATAAAAGAAGAAAAGTATAAGAAGACGACTGTATTGGAAAAATTGTGAGTAATATTTTAAATTGGTTCATTTATGATTTGTTATCGCTACTAATATATGAATTATCTGCACAGATATGATGTTGCACCGCAAAAGTTATCCGAGGCATTTACAACGTGGATCATTGAGGGGGAGCCTATTCAGATACTTGATGGAATATCTTTAAAACCACTTCCTACAAATTTTTTATCATATACATTATGCAACATCATGTCCAATACAAGTCGAAAGCTAATAATAATTTCAATAATTGGATTTGAAAGTTCCGGAAAATCGACTCTTTTAAATTATTTATTCCAATGTAGTTTTGCTACATCAGCAACACGATGGTAATTATAAATCTTTTTTTGGTATTCGCAAGCTTAAAGAAAATTTGATATGAAATGATAATAATTCTTTTTTTTTTATTTAGCACAAAGGGATTGTATCTAAGTTATCGAAATACAACTTTTGATGATAATCCGATTGATCTTTTAATCCTTGATTCCGAGGGAATGAATTCAACTGCGCAAAAATACATTACAACCCGAAACGATTTCGATAAAAAGTTTACATTATTTGCCTTGATGTGTTCTCATATCATAATAATTAATACCAAAGGATTGACTAGAGACATTGGTGATATTTTAGAAGTGTCTTCATGGCATTTGGATGGGTTAAGAAATAGAAAATCCAAACCACGACTTCACTTTGTACTTCGGGACATGAATAATAACGCTAAAGATTTTCAACCATTTCAAGATATTGTTAATAGCCTAAAGAAAATGTTTCAACAAATTCCTGGATGTGTGGAATCTTTGGAGGATTTTATGACTATACAAGAAGAGGATATTCATCTATTAACAAGTGCATTTCATTCTTATTCCGATGATTTTTGTCCAACAACCGGTAGAATTAATGAAAGATATAATATAAATGTGCCAGCCGTAAGTAGTTTATTCATCCTCTTTTCGCCCCCCAAAAAATTTTATCAAATTAAAATTTATGTTGATTATTTATAGGAAACGTTTTCCAATAAAACTTCTATTTTGCGACATTCTCTCTTAAATTCTGCTACATCTCAAAATGCTAATTTTAATATATTCAACAATATCCAAGGTTTTATACCGTACATGAAAACGGTTTGGGATAATATTGGTATACATGGAAATTTTTTGCACTTTGAAGACTTTAAATCAATAAATGCATGGCATCAAATGCGTTACTTGGTTAATGAAATCAAAGGAATCGATTTAAAAGAATTTAGACATCAAGCGAAAGATAAAATTAATGAAAATGTCGAAAGGTTAGAGGTAGATCATTCCAAATGGGTTGAAGTTGAAACCAACGTACGAAAAGATTTAGATGAGCTTCAAGATGAGTACAACAAAATATGTATGAAAAAATATGATTCCAAATTGCAAAATCAATTTGACCTTCACATATTTAATGAAGGTAAAAGACTCATTTATAATATGATCGCAGAAGAAAGGATGGAATGTGACACGTTATGGTTAATATCAGCTTGCGAATATAAGGATTCTTGGTTATCAGATTGTGCGATCAAAAAAGTTGGGAATAAAATTGAAAAGCTCATAGGAAATAGTCATTTAAATGATTTAAAATTGATAAAATATGATGAGATTTTTGAAGAAATTTGGAATGAAGTTGAACACGATAAAATGATATTTGATCAAGATATGATATTGACTTTGGAAGATCTTAAACCTTTCATCTCAAAAACTTTCAATAATGCCATCGAAGAATGTTATACAAAGGTCTGTCAAAATACCGAGAACAAAGAACAAGTAAAATTTAAAAGAAATTTCTTTAAAATTCTCAAAAAACCCGCGACATTTGAGGAAAGTATTCGAATGAATCAGTTTACCATAAAAGAAGCGTTTGAAATTGAAAATATTGCAGAGGATCCTGACACGAATAACAATGTGCTTAAAAATAAATTTAATAAATTTAAACGGAATTTGATTGGCTTTACAAGTAATAAAACAAATACGAAGATAGATTATAAGGCCACAGCATCCATAAAAACAGAAATCGCAAAGAATATACTCGATAAATTTAATAAGGTCATCAAAAAGATTAAAACTGAATTAGCAGATAATAATTCTCTGCGAATTGATTCAACGCAAGCAGTAAAATGTTTAGAAACGTTATGTAATTTTTTCTTCGATATTACCAACGATGAACATAATGGAACTTTCATCACATTTAAAGATGATGATTTTAATATCTTTGAGGTGATTTGAATGTTTTAATTTTAATTAGCGAGTCCTCCGTTTTAATTTTAAAAAAACTAATTGAATGAATTTTTTTTTTTCTTCTAATAATAGAAATATTCAAGGATAGAAGTTTTCCAAAGTTTATCAAATAATATTGATAAGTGGAATGATAAACAACAGAAAAATCTAGAAGGCTTAAGACAAAATCTAATCATATCATTTGAAAAAATTTTATCTTATCAATCCGGGGAAAATATTTCAAAAGAATTTACCAAATATATTGTACAAGCGATAAGACCAAAGGTTGACAAGATAGAAAATGATATCACCCAAAGATGTAAAGAATATATTAAAAAAAGTTGGAATGATACCCGTACTGCAACAACAAATGCTTTTGACATGAGTTTTGGAAAGTTGGATTTGGCAGCTGTGAACCAATATCTGAACGATCCAACCCAATACATGTTAAACTTAATGAAAATGGAATTTATGGTATTTTCAGATGTGATTATTTATGATAAATTGCAAGAAGTCGATGAAACGATTAGATATACACATGAAACTCTCTTAAATGACTTGAAAGAGTGGATGGGGCTATTTGATGAGAACAAACATTATGATGAATTTAAACTAAGTTATCTTCTTACTTATTTATCAGGGAACTCCCATGATCATGAAGAATTAACAAATACCTTGTTTATGAAATATGGGATCGTTTTGAAGCAGAAGACAAGCTCACATGATTTTTCCAAGATTCTAAAAGATGTTACTCACCTTTTGAACAGTTGCATTGTGCAATATCCAGTTTACTTTTTTAATACACTTTTTAACGAATTGAAAGAAGAATTTCAAAAGCTTTATAGAGATTGGAATGATCAAGAGAGAGAGAAAGTACAAAAAATATTGGAAAGTACAGTGATAGGACTAAGTGAAAATCTTGTGGATAAGATTGGGTGCAAAGAAAGGTGTCCATTTTGTTCTTCAAAATGTGAATTACCCAACGATGGACATGAAAAACATCATGTCACCAATCATTTATTTCCAGCTTTCTATGGTGTTTGTTCGGAACATTACCGTCATCCGATTTTATTTTCATGTACCGAAGGTGCGGTGCATGAAAATGTATGGGGTTACGCTTATCTTGGTCCAGAATTATATTCGTTGGATGGATTTTTGAAAAAATTTCATCCGGAATGGCATTTATTTCAACGTTCTGCGCCAACCGATGAAAATATTGTAAAAATGCGTGCTGTTTGGTGGAAATTAAGACAAACCTTATGTTTAAGAAATAAAATGATTGATAATACTGATCCATCATGGGGATCCTTGTACGGAAGTCTCATCCCCGAATAACGAGTGAAATTATATTTTGTATTCCTTTTTTTTTTGTAAACTATCAATAAATATCAATATAAAATTTTCCTAAATATACAAGGTATTGCATAAACAATTAATTCTTAACCTATTCGTAATATGAAAATTTAAAAAATTCATAGGAAATATGACGAAAATAATTTCAGAATTTGGATATTATTTTTTTCATCTAAATATCCTGAATTTTGCAAGTTTCGGCACATTAACGGTGACATTTCTTCTTTCATAGGATTGAAGTATGATGGCAGTATGAGTATTGTAATGGAGCATTATAACCGTTTTATATTAAAATATACAGTAAATAATTTAGATTAATATGGTAAACCGATTTTTTTTTTGTTTGAAAAAAAAAAAAATGGAATAAATATTTCAACCTTGTCAATTAAATAGAATAAATATCTAAAAGAGTCCTCTTCTCTTCTGGCTTATCATTCACGCATGCCCTATTCTTTAACAACCCAATGATTATGCCAAGAACCTTCCTTACATACTTTCGTATTCTTCTTCGATACTAAAGGCGCAGTTATACGTCATTGATAATTAGCCGGAATACTGAACCTTTATACTCAGGTTTCACCAAATTATTTCCCTCTCATATCACGTGTTAAATTGGCGCACTTTCTGTTCGTATCACAAACAAACAAAAAAAAAAATATAGGTTTAATATCTCCCATCATATACTTTATGATTAATAAATTAAATTTTTAGATGAAATGACAAAATATACTGTATATTGGTTTAGCATAAGATTTGCTATGTCTCGTAACTTGATTTTAATGGCAACCGACCCATATTTTTTATTCTTTTTTTTATTCTCCTTTAACAAGTTTCATGGCTTTTTCAAGAGAAAGTTAATTGTATCAAGTGAAAAAGAATTAATACAATATGATGGGATTTCGCAATCTATTATAGATGATTTATTTAATATCCATTTTCTTTTGTCACTCAGCCAAATGCGATTAAGATTATGAAGACGTCTGTTTAGGAATAGAGAAGGTACATGTGATAAGTTATGAATAATGGTTCTTGTTTACCTTGTGAATTTAAATACCTCTAGGGTTTTGTGTGGCGAGCATTTATGCATTATCTTAAGTGGCTTTAATGAATTTAACTATCTATCATTAAGATTTAAATGTGACTTAATTTTAAAATTGTACTGCGGTAACGGGATTCTACGCAGCTAACTTAATTTTTTATCATATATTTATACCAATTTCAAATTTACGTGACAGCACAAGAATTGCACATTAACTTGAAACTTTAGTTTGTTTGGTACTGTTAGTGAAATTTTTGTATTAAAACCTTGTTCTTTTGAACAATTCTCAATATTGTTACTCATGACGACCTTTTTTCATCGAGAGGACGATATAGAAATCGTTCAGATATAAAAAAGCTAAACGAACGCTAGTAAAGTCAAAAATCAAAAAATTATAAATTATTAAACTTATGATAATTCTTTATTTATAATTTGCATAATAATTTTTAAACGTAAATTAAAAAAAAAAAAAAAGGGCCGATTCAAAATTTAAAATTTCGAATGTAAACTTATTGTAATCTTGATACAATGGACGTGTTCTATGAATATTAAATTCTGACACTATATAAGCTTATTTAACTTTAAAGAAACAAAAAATTGAACAAAAATCTTTGAGTTGGATCTTTGAATCTTTAAAGACAACATAAATGAAAATCTTGAAGTTTTATCGTAGTGATTTCAGACATTTTAATCTTATAAATCGTTTTATCCGGTGTGAATAATAAACGAACATGTTAATAAATTCGGGTAAATCAACTAAATAATATCATCTAGATTTTTTTCATAGCATAGATCCTATATGCATCTACAATGGTTTGAACTTCGTCAAATTCCTTTAAAGTCCCATTCCATTCTTGATTCAACTCATCAACATTATCAAAATTCATCGTATCAAGTAACACTTCACCAAGTACTTCTGAGAAAAACACCGTACAAAGTTGTTCAAATAATAATCCTGTTTTGTCGCTATTTTTACCCAACTTCACCTTTCTAATATCAGATTCTAAGATTTCGATCCGGGTATTTGTGGAAAGGATTGATTTTATGTAATTTTGTGGCAAAAATACTATATTATTATTAGTCACAAATAAATTATCTACTGTTTTTTTTTTTAAAAAAAAAAAAAAAAAAAAAAAAAAAAGGAAAAGGTTAGATTCCTAAATCGATAATAAATATTTTTGATGTCAAATGTAATTTTTCATTAATATCTTACATCCTTGAATAAATGTTAAAAAATTTGGTCCAATATTGTTTTCTTCAAAATCATACCCCTGTATCTATAATAAAAAAAAAAAATGATTTTAACTTTTGTTTTTTAAAAAAAAAAAATTAAAATTAAATGTTTGTTCATGATTACTTACTTCCACCCATCCACCAGGTTTTGTTACTCTTGAATTAAAGATTAAAAATGAAATTTTAGTAAAGCAAGTTTTTCGTTCTTTTTTTTTTTAAAAAAAAAAAAAAGGTAACAAATTTATTTACCTTAACATTTCATCAATGACAAAATTCCATTGACTTGCATTATAAAGAGGTTCGATGACAGATAAATGAACGAAATCAAAATAATTATCTTGGAAAGACAAACCCTTCTCTACACTAGCATCAAGGAAATTGATATTATTAGGCTTAATTGATGTAGGAAATAATTGATTTTTATCAACACCAACAAATTCCGAGAAATTGTACTCGGTCGATAGGTCCAACAGATAAGTCCCAGCACCACAAGATACATCTAAGACCTTGGCACCGTCAATTAAGATATTTTCGATCGGAGAGGAAAAATTAGAAGACCAAACTAATTTCGTGGTGAAATGATATTGATGCAAAAAATCGATATCTTTATTTGTACTTGGAAATTTTGTTGACTTCTCATTAAGTAATGATTGTGATTTATCTTTTCTTTTGATTTGATTTACTTTTATTTTTGCTAAAGAATTTTTTTTTTTTTGAAGTGAATTTATTTTTGATCCAACTATTCCTCCCATGTTATCATATAATAAGGGACGCGACGAATACGTTTCTCAAATTACGGAATTATTATTAATAATAATATTATTATTATTATTACTATTATTCTAGGAAAAAAAAAAAAAAAAAAAAAAAAAAAAGCAAATAATTTATGAATTATTTTTTAATTTCTTTTATTATGTTATGGTTTTATCGAATAGCTAAACCTTTAATTATTTGTTTTTCTTTTGTGTTCCGTTCCTTTATTTATATTAGATATGCTTTAAATAATTCACAAGATTTTACATTATGAAGAGCGCCCAAATCAAATAAATTTCGTGCGTTAGTTTCCTCCGAATACTGCATAAGGATTTTTAGGGTTAAGCGGAATTTCAAATTAAAGTTAATTTAGAAGGAGCGATTGTTTTACAAAAATACTAATTTGGCGAAGTGCATGAAGAATGAAATCATAGGGGGAAACAAAGGGATACTCACAATAAACGATGTGAAATGAAAAAGATAAAAATAAAAAGAGCGATCATGACAGTTTAGTTAAATATGAACTAGTGAAAGGGTTATTCCTGCATGCAAAGTTTAATCTTTCAACAAACCCTTACAGCCATCCTGCATTGACGATATATATTTACAATCTACATTATATGTCGATTCAGTATTTTTTTTCGCGCACATCGATCTAAAGGAAAGTTACCAATTAAATCTTACTTCCTATCTAACGACAGTTGGCTGAAACGATACAACTATTTTGACTTACGCCGACATGCCCATGAGATCATAATTACAAATTACTATCATTAATTAACAATATAATCATCCGAATTTCTGAAATAAAGAATTTTCCCGTAATTGTATCTTATTCATGTGATAGCATGGATTTTCTTTTTACAAAAATAAAATAAATAGAACATGATAGGTTTAAAAAATTTTTTATCATTTTCTCCCAAAAGAAACTGAATGTAATCAAGAAAACTTTTTAAACCTTTCGTGTATTAAACTTTTCATATTAATCGTTATGTAAGATATTTTGACAGATTATTCACAAAGTAATAGGAAAAACTGCCAAACCCCTAAATTTTTTAAAAAACCCCCCCCCCCCCACTTTGCATGTGTAGCGATGATTTACTATGTTTGTTTAATCCGTTTGTTTATTTCTCCATTGTATTGATCTTTTAGAATAATCTGTGATACCACCAATAATATGATTTGCATTAAAATTCCAATTAACTTTTGAATTTGAATAATTTACAGTACATATCCGTTTTTTTAAAAAGAACATTCCAACATACTATTAAAACGGATTTTTAAAGAATGATGAAAGACATCGTGGTTGAAAAATTATTGATGTACAATTTTAAGTTGTAATTTTTAACAGTTTTTGTCAAACATTGAATCGTGTTGAGATTCCAAAAGGTGGTGTAATTCTCGCTCATGCTAGAAGCACGTGATCGCTAAATGCCACGTCTCATTATTTATTTTTATAAATCATATAATTCATGAAATTTCTGGAAGTCTTTGATTTGAAACTTGTTATTTTTTGAATAATTTTTTTTTTTTTTTCATTATAAAATATTATCAAACACCCTTCAGACGATTCAATTAAATATTTTGATCTTTAATAAATTATTGATTATTATTTTTTTTTTTTTGTCTCAATATTCGAATTTCATGTCTTTAATGTTCCTATCGAAATATATGCAGCAATTGTCATACAAACCTATTCCAATACTCGGAATCTCCGCTTCCATCGGATTTTTCTGCAAGTCATTGCTTTTTCCGTGGTACCTCGGGACTACGACTACGACCACGACCGCATGCCGTTTATCGCTTCGACAAAATTTAATCAAATGTAACTAATGAAGGATACGGCGAAATTTTTTGTGAAATGTCTAGTGCCTATGCTGTAAATAAGCAGTATAACATATACATATGTCTCGAAATAAGATTTGTTTTTTCTGAAATAAATTTTGGATTATACATTGCATAAACGAATTAACCACCTTTGGTTGAAGGTACACATAGTCACTCCTTTAACAAGAAGTTTTGTATTCAGGTCCAATAGGCTTCTTTGCTATTTAGAAACGTACTTTAAGTTCATAGATTATCAAATTATTATGACGGTTAAAACCCGAAAGAAGTTCCAAAATCTATTTAAAAATACATTGAATATGTAGATATAAATAAAATCAATCATGACTGGGTGAGAAGGTCCTCTCAGCCTAATCAATTTATGATTAGTTATCTTATCAATCAATGTCGATTGATTTTACTATATATAGGAGGACGTCAATAAAAAGGGGGAAATCTAAAATTTAAGCCAATTTTGTACACAAGACCGTAATTGGTCAAGTGGACTAATAAAAAAATTTTGAATTTCCTCTTACATCTCTCATTGTATGCAACATATCGATCAATATATTAAATTCTTTTGAAGTTGTTTTTGTTTTTATTTAAATTGATAAACTATCTTTATTATCTTATTAAATGATAAACCTAAATGTTGTGATGACCTAAATAACATCTTTTGTTTTTGCAGAATAAATAAGATACATTTATTTTGTTACTAAATATTGATGAATCAACATTATGTTATTGGACCGATTCGAATAGTCATGAATTTAATAATTCACTCTGGTTACACCAATCAGTAGTGAGCAACTGCGGCTGAAGTACTTGTAGTAGTACCCTTGTACAAAATAATATGGGAAGCACAGCAAGGGGATCATATGTTTCCACTTCTACTAAAATATTTATACAAATTTCATTAAGGATTTGTGATAGAAAAAAAAAATATTAATGTTCTTATAACGATTTTCAAAACTAATGACGACCCAATATATAAAAAACATATAAAACGCAACTGCTTCGTAGGATTATCATCATTATTCTAGGTCCACCTTATTATAACTAGGTAATTCCCCGGTGAGCCCGCATTAATTTCTAGTAAAAAACTATGCGGTCAACATCCATAATTATTACACATACATCTTTTAAGATCAAATTATTTTCGAGGCTTCTATCCCTATTCCAAACGATCGGCAAGCGTAATAATGTGAATTTTTACCTTCTTCACATCTGTAAAATAATAGAATGAATAATCTTCGAATTTTTTAAATACTCACTGTGAGTTTAAACAAGCCTAGCGCAGTAACGTCATTCGCGTATTATAAAAACCTTTTTTACTCCCTCGGCCATATTATCAAAGTAGGTAGATCGTATTTTGATCATAATATATATACTCATTATAAAATAACCTTTTTTTCAACCACTTTTTGTTTATGACGATTTTCATGCCATTGTTTTGTACGACTCACACGTAGATCTATGAGTTCCCTTAATATTTGATTAAGTAATGGAAGTTGTTTCGCACTTCTGATAGGTCTATCAATTCATAATACTATTGAATAATTATTATTTAACAATTCAATAAATGTAAATTTCTTTTTACTTTTGGATTTAACCTAATTTATGAATATAATTAAGTGGGAAATTGATTTCTACAAATTGATTTAGCAGTTAATAATCATCCATAAATTTAATTAATAAGAAATTATTGTTTGACTTACTTTATTGATGTTAATTTCAATGCTTCTTCAAAAATTAATTTGGTTTCACTTTCAATGACAAGGATAATTAATGTATTTATCTAATATTTATTGCAGTTTATACAAAAAAAAGACATTTTTTTCTTGAAATGCGTTTATGGTCCATTTTTACCACACATTTTGTATCCTTTGTAATTATAAAAGGTATTAAGCTTTTATACATCATTTCTTTTTCATAAAATTGACAATTACCTGCATTATTCTCTTTGTATTTTGTTGATTTTCTTTAAGTTCTTTATATGGTTTATTAGTTACCATATTGCTAAAGCAACCATTAGTTAGTTTTAGCACAAAATGTTCGTTAAATTTGTATTATAAAAGAGATGTTTAAGGAAAATGGTAATGAATTTTTTATTAAACAAATTTTTATTATGACGAGAATTTTGATACATAACTAACGGCTTAAGGTTGCCTGGCAATTCCCCGAGGTTTCGACGGGTGGCAAAATCGAAACTAGTTTTGACGTTTTGCCAAATTTTTTTTTTAAAAGGCAAAACCGCGAAAGTTTCGACGAGTGACAAAACTTTTGACAGGTGGCAAAAGCTTCGACTGGTAATATTATGATAGGGGGCAAAATTTTTGATAGATGAAAACCTTAATTTGAAATTTTTAATTATATCAAAGCTAAACTTATAAATACTAATAAGCATCTTAATGTTCGAAAAATTAACACTTTATGATTATTAGATATATATCATTATATTATAAAAATGAAAAAAAATGTAAAAAATATGTAACCTAAATTAAAGTTCTTCATTAATTCCAACCATATCACCAATTTCTCAATTGTAATCCTTTTTTTCTAGAATACAGCAAATCGTGCAGCACATGCCGCCTTAGTATTTCTTTCACTAAAGCTTTTTTCAATTTGCATCTTCATCTTTGAATAAAAATAAACAAAAATATTATTTAAGTTCTTTTATATTGTATTACAATCCAACCTGTTAAAAACAGTCAAGTTTTGGTTTTGCGGTATAATAAATCGATAATCATAGCATTTCTTCTTTGCATTTGCTAAATGAATTTTCCCCCAAATATAGAAAATTCACAATAGATTCTTGCGGAAACTAAATACCAAGAAATACAAATAAACCAATTTATTTTGGCAGTCGTATATAGTAACTCAAATGTTTAAAGATCGAATCAAAATAAACTCTCTAATGTCGAATAAGAGAATTGGTCTCTTTTCATCAATTGAACATTTACTAGCTGAACTATCTTTGAATTACCCGATTTTATCTTATATTATAATGGTTAGTTGTTGTATATTATAAAAAATATTGGTCAAATAGAGGAGCCGTGCGATAATCAAGTTTTCCCCGTGTTTTAATTGTTATTTTACGATTCTTTTCACATTCTTAATACAACAGTTTTAAAGGTAAAAAAATAGTTTAAATATTTATATTAATTAACTTTAATTTCTTTATTTGTAAAGAAAATTGTTTGAAATATTTAGTCATAAACTTAAGAAAACGAATTATCATCTGATGTCATTTTAAAACTCTATTAGAATATATTTTAAAGTTTAGTTATGAACTTTATATAGATTTATTTCAACTAGTTCAGAATTTAAGAATATCTTCCATATCTCTTCTTATATTTAAATTCAAAGTCAATCCATTATTGATTTTCGACAAGTTATAAGTCGAACTTCTATTAATTTGGAAAAACTAGTGAATTTGAAATCCGCCAAAAAAAAAAATCGAAATCCTTCGAAACCCGTCAAAACTGTCGAAATTTTCTTCAAAAAGTTTAGGGTTTTGCCCCGTAACCTTATAACGGCTGATATGCGACGCGATAAATCCGATAATATTATAATTCTTTACAGCCCGGCTAATGACGCGACTGACTTCTGAAAAATTTGACTTGTGACACAGAAATTATGAAATCAATATAATTTAAAGTCCGTTTTGAAGAAATCAGATTTATACCAGAATTTTTATAACTTGAACGCCGGTGACATGAATGTATGTATTCAACATCATGTTTCGTGATCCGTAAAATATCTTTTGAATTTTCTGATTAACAAATAATTGAGGATTAAAACAAGAATTGTATGCTAGGACATGAAGTAAACTGGGATAATTTCATCTAGACCGTAGAACCATTAAAAGCATCGAAATTTAATACATGATAATTTCAATAAGTAAGGATTGATTTATCTGTCAGTCCAAAGTTCGGTTCAGTTATCTTTAATTAAAATGGATGACGTAACTCTAAAATAAAAGTTGTTTTCCGGATAGGAAAATCTTGTGCTTATCATCCTCAATTTGACGTAAAAAGCAATTGTCCTCATTTTTTCCCCAATATAAATTTTTTTTTTTTTTTTTATTCCCTTGTTTCATTTGTTCTTTTAATTATGGCTGTTTCAAAATTACCTAACGAATGTTTACAAGGAATTTTTAATTACATTTACGATCTAAAAACATTACACTCGGTTATCCTCGTTAATCGTAATTGGTGTCAAAATGCCATTAAACGACTATGGAAAAAACCGTTTAGAAACAGTAATAATTGGGATAAACAAATCAAAATTTGCCCCCTTTTATTTCAATTCATCATATTTGATAAAGAATTAAACGTAAAAGAAAAGTTGGTAAAAGATTATTATAAAAAATATAAAAAAGCAAATCCCAACCCTTCTCATTGTTTATTTAACTATCCAAGCTTTATCACCAGCATCGAATTAGATCGTATGATTAGGGTTGCTTCAATATTCGTGCAAAGGAATACAAGTAATCTTTGTCGTATTCCAGGAAACAAGAAAAGTAAGTAAAAAAAAAAAAAAACGCGTTTACTTCAATCCTTTATACTAATATTTTCATTTCTTATTAATTTTTTAGTTCCGAAACTTGATCAAATTTTAACCTTTGTGTTCATCATGTTAAGGGTTATGGTATTTAAAGGTGCAAAGATTAAACGATTTATAGTTAGTCTGAAGGAAAAACATATCAGTATGCTTCTAGATAATGATGTAACTCTTGAAAAATGGAACGAAACAAGAATCAAAATCGAAAACACCCTTTCAAACTTTCTAACAATGGATGCAGCAAAAAAGTGTCTTAAAAACTTGAAATATTTTATGTGTGATTTGTTAATTGAAAAGTCAAAGATTTTACCAGCTTTAACGTCCATATGTAATAACTTACAGGGAATTAAAATTCAAGAAAATTCTCTTCTTTTAATTAAAGATTCCTTGATATCCTTAATTCAATGTCAAAATAATTTGGAACACTTGCATATTCAGGGTTCGCCATATAATCAAGATCATGGATCAAACATCACACAATTGGTTTTATCATTGGAAAAAAATGCTAACTCATATAAGAAAATTTTACTTGAAGATGGATACGTGGATAATGACAATGCATTTAAATCCTTGATCAATTGCAAGGATCTTGAGGTTTTACAAATCAAAGATTTAAAAATCTCTTACAAAAATTTGGAATTATTGGCTTTTGCGGAATTTCCGAAACTAAAATGTTTGAGTTATATTAATACGCAACCTAAGAATGTGGGTCCAAGCTTAGCAAATCCGTTTATTGCAATTATTAAAAATAAAAAGATCACATCAAGACTACAAAAACTTCATTTAGTAGGATTTTTAGACGTGGAAAATTATAACCTGTTGAAAACTATGGCAGAGAATTTTAAAAATTTGAACGACTTGTGTGTTCAAATTACAAGAAAAGAGGAAGTACCGCTTTTAATTATTGTTTTGAAAAATTGTTTAATGATGAAACAAGTCAGATTGGTGAATCCTGTTTCATCTTATGACTTTGACGAGTTCAAGAACTTTGTTAGAACATGGTCTGCAGAACAAGAGAAAACAATTTTGAGATTTGAGGATCATGAAGTTCATATTCATGTTGAGTGGGAATAATCATGTGAGAAAAAGGATAGATTTCATATATTATATTAAATTAGAATTGATTACAATATAGAATTTGAATCATCACCATTTAAATAAAGTGATTACGTAATCGAGAAATGTAGGAATGGTCATATAATTCGTTGATATTTAATTTTTGATAAAATTCGGATCAGATTATTGATTTCTCATCATATCCATAAAATGAATATACATGCATAAATAATTTATAATTTAATGATACTTGAAATTTATTAAAGCTAAGAATTATTAAATAATCTAATTGACTTTTTTTGACTTTTTTTTTTCACTACATTCTTTTATCTAAGTCATATAGATTAATATATTCCATTTGCTAACCGAAAATCATTCCGATTGATTGTTTTTTATTTTTC